CCCGCATTTTGTCAGGGTCAAACTGGATTTTAAGACAAGTCTTTTTTTTTTCCTTTTTTTTTCTTTTAACAACATTTATTATTGATATTTTCTTTGTTTCTCTTTTGCTTATGTTTTTACAATTTCACTTATAATTTTTTCTTTCTTTTATAGCTCAATACCAAATATGTGTCTCTTTGTTTGGCTATACTCTGTCTGATATATCAAGGTAAGATATTATTCTCTTACAGATCTTTGTTACTCATCATATTGTTTGTCTAGCCATTGCTACTCATTTCCATTGAGTCTCATCATCTCTTAATCGAACATGATGGTAAGTTTTTTTCTTAAAAAAAATTCAAATTATTCTTTTGTCTTCCTCATAGATATATATTTATTTTTATTATGATTTATTAGTTATGTCTAATATTATGCACGAAGACGTATAATCAGTAATATTTGGTAAGTTAACTACAATATATTTAATAAATACGCCTTTACTACACACAATATTAATAATTATTCATTTTTAGAATGTATCTCTATTCAAAGACTACTGGTATTGTCTTGATAATTCTGAAGAACATGTTTATATCAAGTTTATGTCAAGTCTTCTCCGCCTTGTAAGTATTTATGAAGAAATTTCAATTTAAATCATTTACTAATTCTTCTTTTCTATTAATCATTTTTTAATAGCATTCCCGGTATTAAAGTATGTATTCCATGTCTACTCCCGGAAGGCTTTAAATTATATATAGCAAGCAAGAAGTATTAGCGATTATAATAGCTATAGTATCAAAACTGTTGCGAAATTAGGATTTTTAGCTAGAAAAGATTTTCCTATCAAATAAAACAAAATTGAACAAAAAATGTATAACCCAATGTTTTTCCAAAAAATAAATAAATAAAAGTAAAATAAATAAACAAGCCAAAGAGGCTTGTTTATAAAAATCTACCCATGCTTTGTTTCTCTTTTCCATTGTAAAAAAACCTAGTTTCATTGCTTTTGTGTGTATAAAAAACCTAGTTTCATCACTTTGAGCATGTATAAAAAACCAACTATCATCATTTCTTTATATTGTAAAAAACCTACAATCATCTCTTTGATAGTTTTTAAAGCATTTCTGCAGCCAATAAAAAAACCCGGTAAAAATAATAATATGGGACGCTAGCTCTTTATAGACCTCAAAATATAACACATAAAGAGGTAGGCTCGATAGGAGTAAAGCATAACTACAATATTTATTCAGTTTCTATAATTTGTGGACTGACAATCGTTCTACATTGGGTTTTCGTGTACCCGTTGTTATAATGATACGCATCAGCACCATAGATGATATCGTACCATTGCTCAAAATGATATATCACAAAAATTGTGATGATATCGGCTCAATCATCTACATTTTTGGTACATTTGATCCAGATGAAATTACCCTATTTTTCCAGTGTAGTGAGCTCAATGATAATTACCGAATACCCAAATTGAATCACAAACAAAGTTAATCGAATAAAGTCTCCCTGGTATGCATCTTCAAGACACTTCTTCATGTACATTATTTCGAACCTGTCTCTTCTATTGGTCGTTTAATCCTTTGAAAAGCCATTGCATTTTTTGAGACCAAACAGCTAAGAGCAGTAAACCGGGCCAAAGCTAAGGACGGTCTCTCGCAAACGTAAATGCAGATGCATCTTTGGTGAACCAAACGGAGCTTGATATAACACCTCACACTCTCTGCAGAAAACCTCTAATGAGTTATGGACCTTATTAAGATGAGCCATGTATATACTTGGCATTGAGAGATATTGGCATGCATTCACAAACGTTGTTCATTTAACAAGACGGACTTCACACAAGCAGCTACACAGGAGAACATGAGAGTAAACCAAGCACTAATACTTCCACTCATTTGCCTTCATGAATGGGAAACCACTCCCAATCCTTGTACCCAATGATGTGTAGTATTCTTACAGTAAAACATTTTCAGCATCAACCCGTGTTGCAGCCAAGTGTGTATCTGTGATGAGACCAGAAGATACCCATTTCTCCATTATTCTCTTCGCTGTACTGATATACAGGCTATACATCGAATCGATGACAGTGCATTCAACGAGGTTGAAGTAAACCAGGCCATACAATTTTTCCAGGCAACAAGAATTAGAGTAGCACAGAAAATAGCAAAAGATGGACACTAGATAGTAGGAATCACCACACCACTACAAAAGTAAATGAGTTCCACGACGAGGAGATAGAGATAGTGATTGATTCTGCTCGCCTTTACTTTCTTGGGCCCTGGAATGAGACCAACGAAGACAGCATTCTCCTTTATTGTACCGTTCTGGTGTGGGCAAGTTGTTGATACAAAGATATATTGCACTACAGGGACAACCGACCCCATCAAAAGGCTGAAACGAATGGATGTTCATGGCAGGCATAATGGAGCACTCATGATTCACAGATAGTAAAATATTACCGTCTTTTGGATTATTTCACTATGCACCATCGTGAATCTCAAATTTCATGTCTGGAACGTGTGATCTGTTTCTCCAATAGTTTATGATGTCTTCGAATCTAGGGCAGCAAAAGGTATAGACAATGGTTTGATTGTGGAGCTTTACATGTAGATCCTTGTTGGGATACTCAAGGATCTTGATGTTGCAAAGAAAAAAAGTATTTCTGCATTCTCTACCAGAAAGTGTCTCGAAATTACAACACTCTGGAACTACATCGGACTCCCCGTATACTTTTTTTTATGATCGCCACATGCTACAAACCGCTAGACATTTCGAGTCACATTGCCAAGACCGGTCATAGAGTTTACACTGTTTGTACTGAGGAAACATGAAAAGACTGTCCAAAATGCGCCAATACCTCATTAAAGAACTTCAACAGGACAGCACCAGTAGAATTGACAGTATATTTAGATATGAATAAGACAGCAAACAAAACATTGAAAGCATGGGTTGGATCGGCTGGCATATCAAACAGAGAAAAGTGTTCTATTTAAATATATATATATATATGTATGCTGTATTTGTTAATTCCATGTACTTTTTGTACTAACCCCTAACATCTTCAGATTCACTGTCAGAAATATCCAAAATAACTGCTACAATGGCATCCTCATCTTTGCTTTCAGAATTAAACAAGGAATCAATGGCAAAAAGAGGTAAGTCTTTGGCTGTATTGTCGAGTAAAAAAGAATCAAATTATTAGATATTATAAACAAGTATACAACTTTAATAAAAATACTATGGATACCTTCAACCTGATATTCAATATCAACATCATCTCCAAAGCCAATCTTTATGTCATTGTCATTCGACATTACCTCTGTAATTGAAGTTGTATTATATAAAAAGAAACACATTTAATTAAAATTCTCTTGATAATTATTTTCTTAAATTATAACAAGAAGATCCCAACTGATATATTGTCTCACATCATCATCTTCTAAATGTACTCTGAGTGGTTGTTGTTGTTACTGGACGTGTTGGGTGCATGTTACTTTTAAAGTCTAAAATTGGTAATAATGGAGAATGGTTCAGAGACACAAATTAAGAGCAACTTCAGTAGTTATTTTTTTTTGTATTTAATTGATACTGCCAGAACTGAAAATGCACAGCGTTGGATCTTATGTAGCTTCTATAAAATCATTGCTTATCGAAAAACAGGGGTTTGAAACTGAAAGTTCAGCCACAATACAAAAAAGAAAATTTAGTAAATGATAAAATCCGTGTGTAGAAACTGATGGACTTGCTCTATTCAAAATGATACACTCGTAGCCACACAAAATTATGTATATGTACATCTATCCCACATCTATTACCACATTTCTACTTACATTTATGCTATACCAGTATTTTATATCCTTCCCAGCATAACTATTATAAAAAATCAGACGTTATTCCTTAAAATATTATATTAGATCATTGTACCACAAAACCAAAAACAAATAAATTATAACCGCAGCTTTAATTGACCCAAATTTATATCCTTGTACTTTATATAATTCAATCAAATGTTTGATTAACTTGCGTTCTAGTAATTCGTTTTTGCTGAAAACAAGTGTGTTAAAGAGCTAGAGACGATAAAAAACGAATGGGCTAAGAGAAGCGGCGGGATTTTAATTATATCGAATTTTCGGAGTATGAATTAGCTCAAAAATAGAAATCCGACCATTACTCCTGCAGTGGGAAAGTGATGTTTTCAGTCTCCATTTGAGTAGTATTAAAAGACAGAACATACACCATTTTATCAGGCACGGATTTGATATGAAATGTCAATTGGGGCAATATGCTTCCTGATCGGGAATTATAAGAATAGACTGAGAACAAAATATATCTTTAATATTACAGCCATATCTTGTCAAGTTTAATAAAATATATATATCCTTGATTTATATGAGATTTTCAAATAAATTTAAATGAAATATAACAAAAAGTAAAAATCTTATCAAGTTGGAAAATAAAAAAAGTAAGACACTATTATAAAAAAAACATATAACAACTTATTGAGAATTAATAAGAGTTCTATTGAAGCTATTATAGATATATTATATTTATATTTCCGTGTTTTACAATATATAAATTATAAAAACAAATACTTATAATAAATAGTAATAATAATTATAGTATACACACCACAATTGAGTGAAATACAAACTCCACAATCCAGAACGGATACTACAATTGCTAATGAACCTGGCAGGGTCACATCTCAGGAACATAACACATACCAGGCACTGGTACACTTCACACTGCTTCAGTGATAACCAACCATTAAGAGCATCTGCAGCAGTAGCATTTAAATTTAGTTTTTCCCAATTTAAGTGCTTTTTGTAAATGCTTTTCAAAAAAATCGTCTGCAGCAGTAGCATTTCCGACAGCATGTATTTACATGCTCCATGATTTTTATGACCTTGAGCATGGAAATAGATGCTCATTTTAAAAACTTGCCGAGTATTTAAATCGTTTTTCTTTGTTATTTTTTTCTTTAAATCGAATAATAGTATATAGCAACACTTACAAAAACTCACAAAAATTATGCTCACTACAAAGCTGATAGTCTCGAGAACATTTAACTTGTATTTTTTATATTAAATATAAAAGAAAAATATCTAATAATAATGAATTTTACTAGTGAAGAAGACTATACCAGATAGTATAATTATCTAAATGCTTCTTTTTATTATGCTACTGATATTTTACCCTCAATATTTTTACTGATTTAAACCTCAGATGTGGCTTATGAGCACTTAAATTAATGCTAATAGAAATGCTACTGCTGCAGATGCTCTAACTAATAGAGATCTTAAATTAGATAACCAAATGTCTATATAAACAGCTATGATCTTCTTTCTTAAATAAATAACACTCTCACAGTACCTATTGTTCTCTTTCTGAAATTTATTTGTATACCTCAATAATAATAAAGAAATTTAACTTTTTTGTTTGATTATTAAATTTTAACCTTTTTTTACACTTTTTTTTATTTCATTAAATTAAATCCTTTTTAGTATGTGTTTATTTTATTTATAGATAGATAGTCTTCTTTCCTTTTCATTATTTTCAATGTTTATTCATTTCTGTAAAGATTACAGAAGACAATGTATGTGCAACTTAGATAAAACGAGCCTTATAATGTGTTAAACCTAAAAAAATAAATGAACTTATATACATGCTTCTTTTTAAAGTTTTTCCTTGTAAAAGATAATTTTTAAAAGAAACCACAGGTTAATGCCTACAGACAGGGCTTTTTAATTAAGAGAAAGCTAATTACATAATCCAAAAAAAATTATATAATTGTCTCTTGTTCTGACAGGGCCATAATTCAGAAGATTAATACAGATTTTCCTAGGTTACAGCTAGCTATCAATCAAAAGAAATCTTTAAAACATGAAACTCACATATTGCTATAAGACATTGTTATATTCTTTATTAAGTAAAACATTATGTGCAGTATCTATTATTCCCTTTAATGTCATTCGTTTACCTCACTTATAATATATAGCAATTTCTCAAGATAAATACACTATTGCTATTTAACTCATTATCGTATCCAGTTTACTCATAACACATATTTAAATAAAACATTTGAAACTCGGTTTATTACTGATAGAAAGACCGTGAAATCCCTAAAAATGTATTGTTAAAAAAGAACCTTCACATTTTATTTCACATTTGATTTTTTAATGTTAGACTTAATCTTTTCAGCTAAAACCATTATACCTATTTGTTTACTGAGTAGAGCTGTTATATAAAAAACACTGAGTACTAAATGATTATCAGCATTAATCTCTTTGTTAAACTTGTAATTATTATAGTCGCTTTCATCCACGCATAATAGATTTTTGTCTTTTGAAAAATTCTATCGATTATCAAAAAATAAACAAAAAGAATTAGATAACAAAATATAATTGGTCAACATATTATATATGTACTATAGAGTAACTTACTTAAATATATTTTGCTTGAAGACCAGTATAAATATATGATCTCAAGTGTTAAAATTAAATTGTATAAAAAAGCAAAAAGTAGAAGTATAATGAATTAAACAGTAATGTAAAAGAAGAAGAAGGATTATAAAAAAGACCATGTACTAGTTAAAGGGCATTGATTAATAAAATAAAACAGGGACTGGCTTTGGAATGAATAAGATTTCAAAAAACATGTATTTTATATATTGTTATTGTATATGCATCATATTAGTTCTTGAGTTTACTTTAAACATAACTGGTTAGTTAGAGATTCTGAAGCTACACAATGATATGGAAATAATTATTTAGTTTGTACTCAAGCTATAAATCCTAAGCCATTTCAATGGACTGGGATACCATTTATAGAATAAAGCACTACGGTGGAGAAAATGGTAACATGTTACCACTTTGGTAACATAACTGCCATTTTTTACTTAATAAAAAATGGCAGTTATGACTCTGTATAAGGCCAAAACAGGCACTGTTACCATTTTTTACATAGTAAAAAATGGCAGTTATTTATTATGTAAAAAGCCAAAACAGGCACTATTACCATTTTTCAAAAAAAAAATCAAGTGTCCTTCCTTTCCTCTATTACATTCTTTCTTTTGTTCTATTGCTTTCAATTCTAGCACAACCTCTTGTTTTTCCTTTGCAACTTTAACAGAATGGTCTGTTTTTTATTATACAATATTGAATCGGGTTTAATTGAATTGAATCTTTATTTCAATGCATGTTTTATTAAATGAAAATGATAATAATAATAGTAATAATGAAAAAACAATTCCATTGGCCACTCGCAATAAAAAATGGTTCTGTTTAGCTACTGCAAAACGTATGCAGTAAAACACTACTATTCAAATTGTATTTCATATACTTTGGGTATTCTAATATATCTTAGATAGCACTTATTATTTTTTACCGATTTCTACAAATATACTAATATTAGAGAAAAAACTTAAAATAAATAAATAGATATAATATTATTATAATGCTTACCTTTATATAATATGCTTACTTGTTCAGTAAAATAAGCGTTTACTCTAAGAATATATATATATATTAAAGAATGTATTAATATTTAAGATCTATATATAAGAAAAGCAATAAAACATAAGCACTATAGAAAGTCGTTATCGTAGAAGAAGAAAAACTTGAGCAAAGATTCAAGTCATGTAACATGAAGCTAATTCGAATCTGATTCATACAACTGGAATGAGCATCTTGTTAGAAAGCTTAACGTGTTTATTCTACTCAATATACTTACATATAATAGAACGACTCCCAAGTATAATATATCAGTACAAAAATATTACTATTAATTTTTTTCCCAAAAAAAAGGCTATATACTGTTTCCTTTTATATTTGAATGTAGCGGAATTGTAGATGCTGTACATTAGCTTCAAATTCTTGTAATCACAACATTAGCAATCATATGAAAGAGGTCAATAAATTTTTTATATGAAAGAAAAAAGGAATAAAAAACATAAAAAGAAAAATGACGAGATAAGAAAAAAAATGCACTAAAGACAGACTAAAAAAATCAAACTCGGCCAATCACAGCAGCCAAACTACGATCTTCGGCTTCTCTTGCGAGCAGGCTTGACACTTGCTGTGGGTGGAGGAGACCTACATAAAAGAGTAAGAAGTTTATATTAGTTTTGTATTAACAGCGCATGAGAAAAAGCAACAATGGTAACTTACAGCACATCTGCCATTATGGGCGACTCAACATCACCAGTTTCTGACATATCAGGAGAAGAAAGCAAAGAATCACTTATGTCTTGCTGTGTCTATAGCATAATAAAAGGAAATGATGTTAATTAAAGTTTACAATATATAGATTTGTTAATTGATAAACTTACTTTGTTCTTCTCTGCCATTCTTCTCTTGTGCGTCTGGTTGTTGCTCTTGAAGCTTTCCCAAAGAAGGCTTCTTGCACACCACATTCTTTTACATTGGTGGATGTGCAATCCACCATTCTTCGCCAACCTCTCCAAATGCATCATGTAGTATTCCCTGTTTTTCTCTGGGATATTCTTCCATTCTTTTGAGACCGCAGGATAGTCTTTGTCAGTGATATCATGCTTTACCATACGGCCTAATGTTTTGAGATGCAGTCTTTTTACTGTCAAATCATGGTCTGAAAGAGGGACTAATGGGGGCAAAGGCTGCCCTTGTGGAACTTCTTTGCAGCGCGCCTTCCAGTCCTGCTCGTGAAGAATCTGAAGCAACAGATTGTATTTTTGTGCTTCGTTTTTTCCTTTGAACTCGCCGCCAGTATTGATTACTCACTTACCGAGCTGATCAGGGTACTCTGTGAGCTGGGCTCTTTTCACAGACTTGGCAATGTGCTCAAGAGCTACAAAAAATGTATGACAATATTAATAGAATAAATGAACATCTAAGCACAGAATATATATGACTTACAACTCTGCTCAATAATGCTTTGTTGCATTGTAGTTAGATCTTCCGCACTGACTGCTGGCACAAATTGATTGCTGAATTGCCTTTGAAGCTCGCGCAATGCTTGCTTGATTTCGGCAAGATCAACCTCAATCTTTTGAATTGAGTTGAGGAGAGTTGTGTTAATATTGGACATGTTTAAGTTTTTTTTTAGCTATAAGCAGTGAGTTGAAAAGAAAAGATGATAGTTTAGACAAGTAGAATAAGAGCGATTTGAGTTTGAGAAAGGCAACGATTTATTACAAGCAATTGATAGCTATTTATATGAAAAAGATACAGACAGATGTACAAACAAAACATATAAAAGAAGGGATGCTTATGCACTTGTATGCACCTGTCTGCACCTGTCTGCAGTAGCTCATGTGAACATGATACAGTCTTTTTGTGTCAACACAACAAAACTGTAAGAAATATAAAGATAAAATGAATTAGACTTTAAATCAATATTATATGTATAAATGTTCATACTTTGCACCGTCTACATATTAAACGTTTTAAAGTATATGATATAATAATATAACTCTATACATATTGCAGATATAGCATGAAATTTGGTTAAAGTTCTCGATGACAAAACCCTGTACCAGTTAAAATTATAACTTTAAATATACTCTACAGTAGCTATATAACATCTGAACATCATATAGTTAATTAGCCCCTTTTTATCAACATTAAAGTAAATGTTATGATACTCAAGTTCATATCATACTTATTATCATTATCGACTAAAACGCGTTTTGATTGATGCTGTCATCAAAGGTAAAAATAATTTTAACTGTCATTACTATTATTTACCAAGGGGCATTTTTGACTGAAACTGTACATTTTTGAAAAAGGTGTGCTTTAACTCACATCGGCACTTTCAATTAACACCCCTTTCGATCAGTAGTGCTTATCTTGATGATGTCAGTAAAAGAGTATCAGACTATAGCCCTCATTATCTATATCTATTTCTTTAAGTTTTATACATAAACAAGAAAATAATGCTATTAGCTAAATATATATTCACTATCTCAAAAATATTATTAGTACAACACAGATAATATAAATATGTCTTTTCTACCAATGTGTTTAGACAGTACTACTTTTTTTTAACTGTTAATTATTAGAAGGCTGTTTTTCTTTGCTTTTGGTATTAGAGAGTAATTGATAATTTATTTAAAAAAAAACATAAATTATTTGGTCATTAATTATCCTAAATATACATATACCTTTTTATAAAGCCCAAAGAATATCTAATCGCTCACAAGTAAAGAGTACGTGTCTGTTTCACCGGTGCTCTTTTAATGGTACCCCCTTGTCAACCAAGAAGTATTTTAACTTACATCATAATTATTAATGAAGAAGAATCTTTCCAACCACGGGAATTATTTACTGACAGGTGTTTCACCTAGCATTGACATTACTGTAATCATTGCTATATCATCATTATGAGAGAGAAAAAGAAAAAGAGCCGCAAGCATTTTGGTTAAAAAATAAAGAGTATATAAAGATGTCTTTTACATTTAATAAATAGCACCAAAATCCTCTTCGCAGCTTTATTTTATATATTACATACGTACCAACCCAACCAATATGTCTTCTTCCAACGTCAGCCAGCAGAGAGATAGAATATCTACACAGCAATACTAATGTGATCAATGTGTCTTGTTTTTTGATAACTACCAGAAGCTGCAAAACCACAAGAGAATTCACAGAGGAGATTCAGCAACAATGACTGAAATTGACCAGTCTATTCTGGATGATGTTGACATGTACCATGACGAAAATGATACTAGTAATGAAGATGAATCTGTTAGCAATTCAGGTAATGAAAAGAGCTGTAATTGTATTATTTATTTTCCAATTACTAAATAATGTATTACAGAATATACTATGGAGTCCATGGAGCTTGATAATACTATTTCATATAAGTGCGCATGTAATTTTGAGGACAGTGAGGGTGAAGCTCACATTTACAACAGCAGCCGAATCAGTACAAATACTTTTACCAAGGCCAAGTTGATGAGTATTCATCTGTCTCAATTGATGCTACAGCATAGAATTGCTAGAGCAGCATATAGAGACATTGTTCAATTTATAAACACTGTCATCCGAGACCATGATGATATAATGATGGGTAAAATATTATATTTTCTGTTACCTTGTACTTTAATTCCAGCTCACTAACATGTAGTGATATCGTTTTTTTTAGAACCTGGGGCTAAGATCAGTCATGGCAAAACTGTTGATGCTTTGCTCAAGTCAAAGTCAAGTGTCAAGGGCCATGAGTATGATGTCTGCTCTAGTGGTTGTCGATTGTATGGCATTAATGACGACCAGGAATCTTGTGTTGACTGCGGCAAACCGCGATACAAGACTGATCCCGATCAAAGTCAGACACCAGCCGCCAGTATGAAACTTATGTCAGTTGGGGATATGCTTTCTCAAATGTTGGCAGATCCAGCCACAAGAGAACTCCTCTGTTACAGAGCAAACCAGGAATCTGTAGCTGGTCAGCTAACCGACATTTTTGATGGTGACAATTACAAGCAGTTGGTGCAGCAGGGCCTGTTCTCCAATCCCGATGATATTGCCATTAGGCTTTATACCGATGGGTTTGTCAATCAAAAGAAAGGCAAAAACTCATATACCATCATCCATTGCATAATATTCAACCTAGACCCATCCATCAGGTAATTAATTAATTTATTACTATTTATTATTATTATTACATTTTTTTTAAAAAAAAAATTACTAATAAAATACTTAGATATACCAACAAATACCTTTTGCAACTGGCAATCTTGCCTGGCCCCAAGAAGCCAACTCATTTGGACTCCTTTCTTATACCCATCATCAATGAATTGCGAGATCTTGAGGCACATGGCTTGGTTGTCAAGCACAATGGAGTGGAGCTTTGCAGATCCAAGGTCTATCTTCTGCTTGCTTCTGGCGATATTCCAGCTGTAGCTGATATGGCCCACATTGGTTCCCATACAAGTTTATTTGGTTGCCGTTTTTGTGAGACCAAAGGCAAATGCCCTACTAACAGATGGCATGGCATGTACTTTGATGACATTTCCGCCCGGTTAAGACCTTTGGAAGACTTCAAAGTAGGCAACCCTGTAAGTATACAAATGTTCAATTAGCCATCTTTTTTTCATACTAAATAACTGCTTGTAATAGTCGAAGAACATATACCAGCCGAGCATATATACCCAACTCTCAACCTTCTCTGGATCATCATTTTTTGCATTAGATAAACTTCATTTAATTGCAAGAGGGATTGGAAAGCTTGTGTATGACCTGATTACCATCACCCTCACAAAGGAAACCAAATTTTATTATACCCATCCAGACAATACCCTCAATACCACCGAATACCCTTTTCATATACCAAGAGCAGACCTTGTAACAATCGGAAACTGTATCACCAGCTCACGAAAATATATACCCACCTCATTTCAAGGCAGTTTCGACAACGTATTTGCCAAGATCGATGGTACTCGCGCAGTGGACTGGCTTGACTTTCTCTTATACCTTGTCCCCACTTTGGTCGTGCCTTATTTACCAAATAGGGCTGTCAAAACAGCTCTATTATCTCTCGTGAAAGGTTGCACGCTTGTCTTGCAATGGACGTTGACATCAGAATTGCTTGATGAGATGGAGTCGTAAGTTATTATACGTCTCATATATTATCATTACAAATAGCTGATTGTTACCATTTTTTAAATATTAATAATAGATACTTCAAGCACTGGCACTCGTTTTTATACCAACAAGTCCAGAATAATACCCTGTCTCATAGTGTTTTCCGACCAGTGCAACATTATCTGGTCCATATACCCTATATCATCAAGCAGCAAGGCCCTCTGCGATGCTACTCCACTCGCTCAATGGAGAGAGTAATTGGCGTCTTCTCGAAATTGATAAAGTCCAAATCAAAGGGTGGCCGAAACGCCAGTTTTCTCGTCGAGCGATTTGCGATTCACAATTATACCAGCACGGCAATCAACATCTGTGATGAAATCAACCTCATTCGGCCAAAGCCATATGGAAGAGAGAGCTACATGGACCTTCCTAATGATCCTAGTGGTGCGCAGTTGTGGGAGCCATTTCATCAGTTTGTTAATTTGAACGATGATTCGGTGGAAGGTGTAGGCGACCCTAGTGTGAAGGAAGCTTTATTGAAATACTACTGGAGAACAACAGGCTTGACTGGCCACGAGTTTGGTGACTCTGTTGTTGTTGTAGCTGCACGTCTGTGGATGGACTCGACTGTATATTCCTCATGCATGTACCAAAGAAAGAAAAACGAGACCAGCCGTGGCAACCATTACATGATGTTTACTTGCCCCTATAGAAAGTAAGTATAGTATTTTTCGATATACAATCAAAAGTTGCTTACATTCTATTTATTTATTTATTTTAGCAACCGTAATGTAATTGTTCACAGCTGGCTCGTCGGTACAGTACAGTTCTACTTTCAGCATGTAGATTTCTATGGCTTCCCACACTTTCTTGCTTTCGTGGAGGTCATGAAGGAACATGACGCGGCTGGTCATGACTCATCAGTACCTATCGTCAAACAACGGTCACAAAGCACCCATACACTAGGCCACCAAACGCAACCGACTTATGCAGTTATAAGTGTAAATGACATTTGTCATCAAGTTGGTCTGGTCCAATACCCACCGAATGGAAACCAGTTTTATGTAATTGCGCCCTATTATATCTTTAACAACAACATGCGCATTACTAAAGGCAATCTTTCCATTCTGTAATCCTTTTTATTTTTATCTTATTTTTCTATATGCTCTATATCCTTATATCTTTTATATTTTTTATATCATCCTTGTATCTTATATTCTTTTTTTAATTTTCTCTATTTCTTATGTTTTTTTTAATCTCTATATGCCCCGTCTTTCTTTTCTTCTTTATATACTCTGGTTTTTTTTCTATTCTCTATACACCTTATGCTTTTCTCTTCATTCCCTATATGCTCTATACACCATTACGCGATTTAAATAAAATCAAATTGCCAATTCATCAAGATAAAAAGAATATCTAAAAAAAAAAGAATGTAGTTTAAAAAATAAAAAAATGGCAGTTATGTTACCATTTCGTTTACACATTCCAAAAATTATTAATCTT